CTCACACTTTTTACCCACAATTGCAACTTCAAGCATTGTGAGAAAGAAAAAAAAAAAAGTTAGCCATTTTTATTTTTTTATCCTGTGGTGGAACCAACTATATTAAAATGTACTTCTTATGCATATGTGTCCTTGCAGCACAGAAGCAGTCATAGGCAGCACAGGTATATTTGTAGCAATAGCCAACAATACACTGTATGGGTCAAAAGTATCCATTTTTCTTTTGTGCCAAAAATCATTAGGATATTAAGTAAAGATCATGTTCCATGAAGATATTTTGTAAATCTCCTACCGTAAATATATCAAAACTTAATGTTTGATTAGTAATATGCATTGCTAAGAACTTCATTTGAACAACTTTAAAGATGATTTTCTCAATATTTAGATTTTTTTGCACCCTCAGATTCCAGATTTTCAAATATTGTCCGATCCTAACAAACCATACATCAATGGAAAGATTATTTATTCAGCTTTCAGATGATGCATACACCTCAATTTCGAAAAATTGGCCCTTATGACTGGTTTTGTGCTCCAGGGTCACATATGAAAAAAAGTTCAGGTTAAATGAAACTTTATCGACATAAAGGTTAGTAAAATAAGATGTGTGTGATGGTCAGGCTGCTGCTGCTGAACACTGTTAGGTCATCCCTGCTGTTTAGTCGAGTGAATATTAAGTTCCATTAGCAGCAGGCTAACGGACTTCACTAAACAAAAGAGCCGTGTCGGGATGAGAAGCAAACACCAGCGCGCTTGCAGGGTCTGGGTCTCACCGGTCTCACCGTGCTCCGCAGCGGCGCTCGGGGGTCTGCGGGCGGCACTCTGCTCCTCGTTGGACTCCACCGCTCTCTTCGCGGCCGTCGAGCTCTTGGTTTTCGCAGGCATGGTTCACGGCAGCTGAAAGCACATTAGCCTGGGTTAGTCTGCACTGATGAGGGACACAGCTCGTATCTGTCTTTGTTCACGAACACGACGCACAGCAGACAAAAACATCACAACAAATCATTGCATACGTGGTGAAACTTCGTCGCTTTTCATCATAACACAGTGAAGTGTGAGAGTGAGTGAGTGAGTGAGTGGAGAGTGGAGTGTGAGTGAGAGTGAGTGAGTGTGTGGAGTGTGAGTGAGTGAGTGTGTGGAGTGAGTGTGTGGAGTGAGTGTGTGGAGTGTGAGAGTGTGAGAGAGTGAGTGAGTGTGAGAGAGAGAGTGTGTGTGTGAGTGAGAGTGTGTGTGTGTGAGAGAGTGTGTGTGTGAGAGAGAGAGAGTGAGTGAGTGAGAGTGAGTGAGTGTGTGGAGTGAGTGTGTGGAGTGAGTGTGTGGAGTGAGTGTGTGGAGTGAGTGTGTGGAGTGAGTGTGTGGAGTGAGTGTGTGGAGTGAGTGTGTGGAGTGAGTGTGTGGAGTGAGTGTGTGGAGTGAGTGTGTGGAGTGAGTGTGTGGAGTGAGTGTGTGGAGTGAGTGTGTGGAGTGAGTGTGTGGAGTGAGTGTGTGGAGTGAGTGTGTGGAGTGAGTGTGTGGAGTGAGTGTGTGGAGTGTGAGAGTGTGAGAGAGTGAGTGAGTGTGAGAGAGAGAGTGTGTGAGTGAGAGAGAGAGTGTGTGTGACAGAGAGAGAGTGAGTGCGTGAGAGTGAGTGAGTGCGTGAGAAGAGTGTGTGAGTGAGAGAGAGAGAGTGTGTGAGTGAGAGAGAGAGAGTGTGTGAGTGAGAGAGAGAGAGTGTGTGAGTGAGAGAGAGAGAGTGTGTGAGTGAGAGAGAGAGTGTGAGTGAGTGCGTGAGAGTGAGTGCGTGAGAGTGAGTGCGTGCGTGAGAGTGAGTGAGTGCGTGAGAGTGAGTGTGAGCGTGTGAGTGTGTGCGTGTGTGTGTGTGTGTGTGTGTGTGTGAGTGCGTGAAGTGCGTGAGAGTGAGTGCGAGAGAGTGAGTGCGTGAGAGTGAGTGCGTGAGAGTGAGTGCGTGAGAGTGAGTGCGAGAGAGTGAGTGCGTGAGAGTGAGTGCGTGAGAGTGAGTGCGTGAGAGTGAGTGCGAGAGAGTGAGTGCGTGAGAGTGAGTGCGTGAGAGTGAGTGCGTGAGAGTGAGTGCGTGAGTGTGAAAGTGAGTGTGAAAGTGAGTGAGTGTGTGAGTGAGTGTGTGAAAGAGTGAGTGCGTGTGTGAGTGTGAGTGAGTGAGTGCGTGCGTGCGAGTGCGTGAGAGAGAGTGCGTGCGTGCGAGTGCGTGAGAGAGTGAGTGCGTGCGAGTGTGTGAGAGAGAGTGAGTGCGTGCGTGCGAATGTGTGAGAGTGAAAGTGAGTGAGTGTGAGTGTGAGTGAGAGTGAGAGAGTGTGAGTGCGTGAGTGAGTGAGTGAGAGAGTGAGTGAGAGAGAGAGTGTGTGAGTGAGAGAGAGAGTGTGTGAG